TTCCGCACTCAACGAGCATGCATATGGTTGGTTAATGCATGGTGTACATAAGCCCTCATTAGTCGCATCAACTATGTGTACCTGCTGCTTCTGGCTTGATTCATCGATATTCTTGGTGAGGATACTCATTTGTGTCATCAGAGTGGCCATATTTTCGGCTATAGAGTTGATTGGGTCCAAAGCCACAGAGTGAACTACAGGAGTGATAGTAGAGTCTCTTATCATCCATCCTGAGTTTTGAGCCATTTTATCGAGTATGATCTTGCATTCTCTGAATGATTTGCTAAAAAATGCTCCACCCGCTGAAGCATCAACATTGGCCTTTAAGTTGTCTTCCAATCCCATGTAGAACCTCTGCCCCAACATTTGCTCTGGAATGCCATGATGTGGACACTTAACCAGTATACCCTTGAACCGCTTCCACGTTTCTTGTAGTGTTTCTATTGGTCTCTGCCTGAAGCTCAATATCTCATCAATTTGTTTGTCAGTATTATTGGGTGGGTAGAACTTGTTCATAAATTGCTTGACTAATTCCTCCCAAATAGTGATGGATTTTATGGGGAGTGAATTAAGCCAAGTCTGAGCCTCTCTCGTCACCGAGAATGGAAATAATAACAGCTTTATTGCTTTCGGTGTCACATTAGGTTACCTTTGTGTGACACATATCAACAGGAAATTTTTCAGATGCTGCTGAGGATCTTCAATGTAAGACCCTGAAAATAGTCCCTTATTCTGCAACAAATGTAGCATGTTATTTGTGATTTGAAATGATTCCGCTTGTATTTGAGGGACTGCAATTGCGGTTGCCAGATTTTCGGCGGTAGGTTGTGCTTAATCATACAAGGCTGCTTCTAGCGCAAAAGGCGCCACACCTTAATTGTTCGGGTCATTCGCATTATTTCTGTTATTTGAATTTTCTATTACGTCATCCATGTCTGGTTCGATTCGTTCTGTTGAGTTTTGTTGTTGTTTGTCCTTCTTGTTTGCACGATTCAATGCCTTGAAAACTTTTTCAGGATCTGATAATGCTTTGAACAATTTACCAGTTCTTGAGGAGTTTCTAGGCATGTACCTGTAACACCCAAGACTACAAACGTTAGAATTTCAATGTATTCAGTTTAAAATGAAGAAAATTGACTAGACTAAGAATTCTAGCACTTCTTTTAGATGCAATTAATAACACCGTTAATTCCCCGACAATGACGTCAAAATTTGATCACGCCCAACTATGCCTTATAAAAAGGATTAAGCGGTCGTTGCGAATATATTCCGGCTAATAAGTCCGGAGTCGAATCCCACAGGAAATTAACCTATCAAACACAGCTACTAGACTCACACGAACTCACGCAATCAATCTTCAGAAATATTTAAGTAATAATTTGGATGTTTACTAAATAAATATTACGTAATGAAAGTGCAACAATTAATAACTAACTACTAACGGGTTGTAGACAAGAATTAGAATGATCTAAGGTTGTGATTTCTCCTATTGTCAGAATCTTTTCCGCTATGTTTTCTATAAATTCGCCTAAGTCTTCTCTATCGATCATGAGCACTATGACTGTCGTAACTCTCTCTCGAGTAATTACCACAATTTACTAGACATATTCTCCCGAATTACGCTAGCTGGCATTAAGTATGGCTCACTCGGATCGCACCAAGGTTTCGTTATCCCTAATCCCACCTTTAAACCTTTCGTATTGATCCCTCATATACGTTAGGACTGATGTTGTTCAACAACTACCTAAATATGCACTCTCTCCCGAGTAATACATACTAAATAGGCACAGCCAATTGAGGGCCCTTCAATCAACCACAATAATATTATAGTTGAACAAATAGAGAAAATACTACGGCAAATCTATATTAACGTAACANTTCAATCAACCACAATAATATTATAGTTGAACAAATAGAGAAAATACTACGACAAATCTATATTAACGTAACAAGAAAATCATCCTTCAATAGGTTCCATCAAAACCCTAGATTAGGAGTTTAGCTACTCATACTCATAGTAACAATATCCGAAATATTTTGCATAATTAAATTACAAAGTAAGGATAAAGGGATGTAGAAATCAATGAGTCTAGCTCCCAACGGTTGTTCCACGAGCTATCCTTGCCTCCAATTGCCAAAAATCCCTCAAAAGTGGCGTTTTAGGTCTATTTATATGTGTAGAAAAAAAACCTAAATGCGTAAGCCAAGTCCTAGTCAAACTAGGAGACGAAATAAGCCTTCAACATTCGGAAAGTGCGCGCCTCAGACCTGGCCTCGCGAGGCTTCACGCGAGCTGAACCCCGCCCCAGACCTGGCGTCGCCAGCTTCAACGCCTGGTGGAGCTCGCCCCAGGCCTGGCGTCGCCAGCTCCCACGCGAGCTAAAGGGCTCGCCCAGCCTGCTCTAACGCCTGCTCTAGGCTTGGCTTCGCCAGCTTTTCATTTGTCGGCTGCTCACTTCTTTCTTTCTTCTTTTCAACTGTTTTCGAGTACGCTTTAGACTTTACTTATTCCTTTTGCTCTACTTTCATCTCCAATTCACTTACACATAAAATAGACTCCATTACGCGTAAATAAAGTATAATTTATCATTAAAGCATATAAAATGCAAGGCGAATAATATGCAAAACTATGGAATTATAGCCACACATCACCAATCTACAAATATATCTCCCTCCAATTCCAAAGAACCATATTCATGCCGCATTCAAAACTTTTGTTCTTCAGTTTCTTTTATATTCACAACTTAAACCACCGATACTTAACATAAAACAAATAAGTGAATATGCATGCTTTAAGGCGGCAAACCTTATAAATGATGATTCTGAATTGTTATGCTGTAGAAGAGACAACGCTAAATCATCTTAAATGTATTTTTATTCTTCTTAAAGCAGATAACATATCTATATACATAACTATTCTTCAGGTGACATTGATTTTATATGGTGTTCGTGAACATATATTAAGGTAGTTTATGATATTTTATAGTGGTGAGCTGTTGTGGCGCTTTATTTTTTACTGTTGCTTAAGGTTTGTTCTTCTTCTTTTTCTTAATTGCAAAATGGGTTCGTTAGATTTATCGTTGTTTTGACAAATTGATGATTGAGGTTTATTCTTGATGATATTTGGAGGTTATGTTTCAAATTTGAGCTCAGATTTAAATGTCGAAGAAGGAATTTCTATTTATGGGCAATTTGCTCTTCAAGCTTATTTGGCCTTAAGTGCATGAAAACATTGGTTGCACTTTAGACTTATTTGGTCTTAAGTGTAATTTTTTCACTTCAGACTTATTGGCCTTAAGTGCATGAAGTCATTGGTCGCAATTCCGACTATTGGGCCTTAAGTGCATCCGAAATGCAATTTTTTTCACTTTAGACGTATTGGCCTTAAGTGCATGAAACCATTGGTCGCACTTCAGACTATTTGGCCTTAAGTGCATCCGAGATGCAATTTTTTCACTTTAGACGTATTGGCCTTAAGTGCATTAAACCATTGGTTGTACTTCAAACCTATTTGGCCTAAGTGCATCTGAAGTGTAATTTTTTCACTTCAAACTTATTGGCCTTAAGTGCATGAAACCATTGGTTGCACTTCAGACTTATTAGGCCTTAAGTGCATTTGAGGTACAATTTTTTCACTTCAGACCTCTCTGACCTAAGTGCATGAAAATATTTATTGTAATTCAGACCTATTTGGTCTTAAGTGTATCTTAAGTGCAATTTTTGCACTTTAGACTTAATTGGCCTTAAGTGTATTGTACTTCAGACTAATTTTTTTTTAGCTTCAGACTTATCACTAAAGTAGGTAGGCTTGCAATTTTTTTTCAAAGTGGGTATAGTTTCAATTGTGACCCCAAAACTGGGTATAGATGCAAAAGCCCCATCTTAGCCTCACTTCCTGCATCTTGTCCTCCATAGGGGCCACACCCACCTTATCCCGAATAGCTTCATACTAATCTTATCTATAATGGTATGCCCACACATTTATCTCAACATCCTCATCTCTGCTACCTTCATCCTCTGAATATGGGAGTTCTTGACTGGTCAATACTCTGCCACATACAACATAGTTGATCTAACCATCGCTTTGTAAAACTTACCTTTAAGTTTTAGTGTCACATTCTTATCGCGAAAAACATCGAAAGCAAGCCTCTATTTCATCTATCCCACTCCAATAGGATATGTGACATCCTGGTAAATGAATAGATTGTGGGTGGCGAGAGTAAAGAAAATGTAGGATCCAAATCAATTATAAAGCGAGGTTATGGAGTTTCGGAAAATGAACTAGGTGATGGATTTTTGTAACACTAAATCTATTTTGGGCAAATTTCATAAATAGTCATTAAATTCACATAACTTTATTTTGCCCACAAAAAATACTATATTATCACAACGGCTAAAAATATAACCTTCCGATGCACTATTATATAAATTTGGTTAAACATTTCAGACATAGATAAATAAATAAGTACCGAGAAATATCCAAAATGAGTTAAAGTATTCGTCGTCCAATACATTGATTTTATGTACTTCAATTTGCGTTGAATTTCCAGATCAATCACATAGTATGTTTTGGCCTAATTTTAACACAATGCTTTTTTTTTTCCGTGCATATTCACTGATTAATTTGTTGACAAAATACTTATATCGCTACATGATTTTAAGGTCTAGCATACAAAACGTTTATGATTTTATTTAGAAAACTTCAACAACGGAATAACCTAGTGTTATGTACCTTCATTCGTTTCTTTTCTTAACTTCATTTTCTTTGTTTTCGAAAATTTTGAAAATCCATTATATGATACGGGAAGTGCACTAATAAGCAATTCTCAGGAATGCTCTTTAGAGATTAGTCATTACTTATGTTGTCCTAAAACTTTGAACTAAAATTTTTAACTTCAGAGCGACTCAGGACATTCTGAAAATCTAAAATTCAGAATGCACTGGCTAATTACTAAATAGCACCTTTATGGGCAATATATTGGGCCGAGCAACTGACTCGAATTTCTTGAGAACAAGCCCACATACAAAATCTCAGCAAGAAGGGTTTCTCATCAGCTTCAGTGAAAGCTTTCTGTATTCACTTTGGCACCTTGAAGCGCGCTCCCTTACTCTGGTATCAATTCTCTATTCTTTTTTCCCCTCTTCTGCTTTTGGTAAAATCTGATTTATGCTTTTATTCATCAGTTTTTGTTGTTGAATGTGCTTTTTCATATAACCTGAATCATGTAATGTTGTAAACGAACAGTTTGATGCTTTATCCTTTGAAACTAGTAAAAATTATAACTTTGTGGGTAGTGCGAATGTCTCGCTTACATCCCCTGCTATTCATTTCATATTTTCCTTCCATTTTTACTTTATCGGAATCAATGACTCGTGGTCGTTCAAATGGTGTATAGTATAGTTCTTGACTTAGTTACTGCTTCTGCTACGAATTTAATCGCCTGGATTTGAACGAGAAAAGGAGAAATGTGAAAATGAGGACTCTGTGTATCTTTCATACCTTTCTTGTTGTGCTATTAATAGACGATGCTTATTGGTTGCCCAAAATGACATTTCTTCCATAAGCCGCATTGGTTTTAGTACTTGTTATATTCATATGCTTGTCCAGTTAGCTCAAGTATGACCGTGATTCGACCTATTGACAACTTACCAAGTTGCTATATTGCAAAATTTACCATAAAAGAATCTGCTTAATTGTGATAAAATTAGGACCTCTGATCCTCCTTCTCAGTCCGGGTGCAAACCTGGTCAAATCCCACCATCATATTCCAGCTAGTTACCCACGACTCACGAGCTGTTGAACTTGAACCAACCCAAACTAGTGTGTCCAAGTTAGGTGATTGATCTTTGGTGTTATATAGTATCTTTTTTTTTTCTTTTTTCCTTTGGGCTTCTGATATCGCATATAGTATTTGATACCAATCTTCTCAACCAAAAAAGAAGTATATCGGGGTCAGTTCATATTGACAATTGCATCCTTTCTGGTGAACCGAGTGGTATTTAGGCGGAGAAAGGTAGCGGATGGGCATATTTGAAACTGCGGATTTCTAGGTTATGACAAAAACTGCGGATTTCTGGGTTCTTTTCCTCTGTTGACTTCATTTTGTTGTGAGAGGGTTGTTTAAATCTTGAACCAAGAATTCAAGAACACTAGCCAAGATGCAACATAAAGAGTATAGAAACACATGGATCTCTACATCTCTATGCACATTGTAGATTTATCTGTCTAGTGTGAGATATTTTAATGTTCATAGATTGTAAACTTATCTGTCGAAAAGCTTATAGATGACTTAGTGTCATAGAAGTTCTTGATCTCAATAGTAAATGTTGTACGAATTAATCGTCAAGAAGAGCCTACCTTGAATCATGATGATTCTCCTAAAAACGTTGAACAATGTTTCCGTTTTTGCAGCTAAAACCTGTGAGAAACTCATTTATCTTCCTTTCACCCTTTTTTTAAGTTGTGTTTTTATATCTCACGTTCCAAAACTTAAGAGAAGTTAATGTTAGTCATATAAGGTCTCTGATTTTGATCAATCAGAGTTTAATATTTCTTAAACTCAAATAACTAAAATAGGGGAACTTGATGTCTCACAATTACTGTAAAGTGGGCACTCCGTACATTTAATGCAAAGAGGCTATATGTTGATTAAAACCTCTTTTGTAGTCAATTTGTTTTACCTAAGATATTTCCATAAGCAAGCCTCCCCAGACTCCACTTGTGGGATTACACTGGGTTTGTTGTTGTTGTTAAGCCTATATTTTGTAGTGGTTGATTACGAAGAAGCATCCTATTCTGATTCTTATTGTAGTTGTTATAGTTTCTGATAACAGGGCAAGAGCAGTAAAAGGATATGTATTCACTAATAGGATATAACAGGGCAAGAGCAGGAAAAGGATATGTATTCACTAATAGGATATAACAGGGCAAGAGCAGGAAAAGGATATGTATTCACTAATAGGATATACGACTCATCTCAGCGTGATTATGAGAAAACGAGAAGGATAAGAAACCTTCTCAAAGGGGCTATGTTGAGGGCATTCATATAATGTACATTCTGGCAAACTGAATGGACTTGTCAAAAGGAAAAAAGGATTGAAGGGTGCTTTGGTCATATAATTTCACTACTTTTTATTTTTTGAATTTGTTGGCTTAATTTAATGATATATAAGTTTGGTTGGGCAGTGAGGGGGTGGGTGGTTTGCGGTCTTTAGATATTACGGAATATCATGTTGAAGATGTTGTTTGCATAGGCTGAGTTGAGATGGCCCTTGTTGTATTTCAGAAAAAAATTGAAAAAGAAGGAGATATTGAGTTGTATAAAAGTTATGTCTTGAGTGAATTACGAAGATTGTCTTTATCAGGAGAAATGCTAGTTTTCTGGTTTTGATAGTCAATATGATGGTAAAAGGAGATAAGTGGCAAAGGTTGAGGAACTTGAGACTTAGGTCACAGGTTCGAATCCAACATCATGCGAACTAAGCCTAGTATTTTAGTGGGGACGAGTATATGGGTGAGCTGAATATCCCTGAGTTTCAAAGACTGCGGTTGGTCCCAGATGGATTTCTTGGTCATAAAAGAAATAAAGTTTCCATTTTCCTTCATCTTGGTAATCAAGTATTATTTCGTGTCTTTCTCCTTCTCGATCATTGATGAAAATAAGCTTGAGTCAAGGCTAGAACAAGCTATGTACATGCATTATATGTAGTTCTTACTGAACTCGAGACTAGCTTGAACTTTTAACCTTCCAACTTGACCAGCTGAGTTTATGCGCCTAGTGTTCATTTGCCTACATATGTAGTAAGGGGTCGTTTGGTGGCTGGTTAGAGTTATGCAGGTATTAGTAATGTAGGGATTAATTATGCATGAATTAGTTAAATAGGGATTAGTTATGCGAGGATTAGTTATACAACAACAACAACCCAGTAAAATCCCACAAATGGGGTCTGGGGAGGGTAGAGTGTACGCAGACCTTACTCCTACCCCGGAGGGGTAGAGAGGTTGTTTCCGAAAGACCCTCGGCACAAGAAGAAGAAAATAAATAATAGGGATTAGTTATGCGGAGATTAATTAAGCGGTTTATATAAGGATTAGTAATTTAGAAATATAATGTGAGTATTATTCATTGTTAGTCTAGTTTATTCTATTAAAATTGTAGTATTTTTTAAATATATTTTCTTAAACAAAAACATACAAGTTTGAATAGAGGGTGTTCTTGTCATTTTGAGTTTTAATACGAGTATTACTAATACATTTATAAGTTATTCCATCTTCTACCATGCATAAATAATAGATTTCCTCATAACTTATACATGTATTAGTTATGCGGAAAAGAAAATTATGAACCAAACATTCTATTAGCAATGCTATGTCTTATGTGAAAAAGAGAAAAAACCAACCAAACATTGTATAACTTATGCTAGATTCTATGTGGATATTATTATTTTTTTTTCATTTTTGTAACCAAACAATGTATAAATTTGTTTTGTTGTTTTGGTAAGGTTATAGGACAAAAGTTGTCAAACGTGTTTTTGTGCAAGTTGGGATATTTGGAATGAAAATCAATAATTTACCAACCACTAAAATTTTTCTGGCCATGAACATTTGATTAGCTCCTCAAGCTGCTGCCAACTTACTAACCTAATCATTGTGAACTACTGTCTGAATTTTTTTTTCAAGTTTAAATTTGTTTAGGGTTTCATCTATTTAGTTCTACATATCTTGGAAGACCAAATTTTCATATTTGTTTTTGTTGTCTCTACCAGATAAGCTGATGGGTGATAAGAAGAAGGCCGGAGCTCTATTCGTGAGGCTCGTTTCAGCTGCTGGAACTGGGTTTTTCTATGTAAAGAAGAAGACCAAAAAGCTTCAAACGACTCAGACGAAACTTGAATTTAGAAAGTTTGATCCTCGTGTGAATCGTCATGTTTTGTTCAAGGAAGAAAAGATGAAGTGATACAAATGCCAAACATGTATCAAATTCTCTTTTAATATCTGGCTTTCCTTTGCAGAAACCAGATGTGAAATTAGATAAAAGAGCATTGCTCAACTTTGTGCCACAACAATAGGTTTGGTGTGTTTAGTTATGTTTATGTAATCATCTGACTTCGTTCGTGATCTTGTCGAGTGAAACACAGTTATAGAAGAGCGGCTGTGAACGAACAATTCATTTTGTTTACTGCAATAACTTTTGCTCTCACAATTACAGGAAATTAGCTAAACGAACCCTTTCATCAGCCTGGAACCAGGCTGTTTTTGAGTCTTTGAGTTCCAACTATGATTAGATAAAATTGGAAATGAAACTAACCAAATGACACTACAGGAAATTATCTAAAAGAACCTTTTCTAGGCATTGCGTCATGATGTTTTTTAGTCTTTAGTTTTAATTACAAGAAATAAAGCTTCAAATATGAAGATTTATGGGAAATATAATAGCTATCAACATAACTAAATATATACGGATATGAATGCAAGTCATATATACTTCAATTACTTAATCATAGTTAAGTAAACAAAGTAGTAATAGTATATACATTTGCTCTACTTTTCCCTTAATATAGGCCTCTGATTTTGCAAATGTTCCAAAAAACCCTTCCCTTTCTCTGTCAAATTGTACTAACCACGTGAAACTTGTTCTAAGTGAAGAGTCACTATTGTTCTTCACAAAACAACAAGACATCACGAAAGGAAAGAACATCACACAACAACCAATAATTCGAAGCTCTTTTAAGTCTAAGTTGTGGTTCCTATTGCAAGTTTTGCATTTTTACTCTCTTGCTGTTCCATTATATATTTACTTTCCTCTTTGATACTTGTTGTCAAAGAGGAAAGAAACAATTCACCCAAGAAGTTTGATGGGCCGAAATGACAAGGCATCATATAAGAACTAACAAAGCAAATTTGACGGCGACAAATCAGACATAAAAATAAAATTATAGTAAAAGAGAATATTAATTAACGAGTTTGGTCAATTGACCTACATTCATAAAAAAATTTACTAATAAAAAAAAAAGTACTAAAATATTGATAGAGAAGTTTTTCCCTAACCAATACTCTCAAAACCCTAAAAGATTATATTATAGATACTCCCTTATTCTTGTATGAGAATGAAAGATCTTCAATTTATAAAACTTCAAAACTTTTCCACCAAGAAACGATTAGCAAAATATGGTGGAGATCTACATTTTTTTTAGAAAAATTAAAAATTAAATATGATAAACTTCTTTTCCTTCTTCAAAAAAAGGTAAAGTCCAATATGGTAAGAAAAACAGTGCAAACCTTAATAACTCTCTTTAATAATGGTCTGAAACGTTGCATGAGCAGTAACAAAGTCAGGAATTTATACAAATGGATTCAAAACAAAAGTTATTAGAATATCACACGTAGGATTTAAACCTATGACCCAAGCAATTTTTGAACCCCCTATACTACTCCAAATGAATCCTCCTTTACATATATCAAGAGGATTTTATAGTTTAATTTGTATACAACAAAAAAATATTTGGTTCTATCCTATTTATACAGTATAATATTCAGTCAAAAAATATTCCGTTGAACGTCCCTCCTAACGTTCCTGTGTGTGAGGCTAATATAAGCAGCATTTACCAATAATTTTAATGATTTTGAAGCCAATGTGAATTTAAGAATAGAATATTAGTTATTTTCTTGTTTCCCTTTCGGTCAATAGAAGCTACAAATCCATTGGAAGGTGAACCAAGAATGCTGATATGAGTCAAGAATTCTGATAAGAAAATTTAAAATCTTAAAAAAATACCATACATGAAATTCGTATATGTATTTTCCTTATGTCAAACGGAATTCAAAATCTTATATACATATTATTTTTTTTAAATGTGATGCCCCATGATAGAGGGCGGGCCGATGAGGACGAGTCAAACAGGACTGACAGGCTTCTAGGCTGACAAGCTTCTGAATAAGGGGTCCACATGTCACCTTAGGTGAATCTCATATCATATTTGGAGAGAACAGTGAAAAACTTTACAAACATAACACAAGTTCATATAGCATGTGCGCTTCTCGATGTGGCGTAGTCCGAAGGATAAATACATTACGTGCCATAGACTTGGATCGTGACTAATATGGTATTAGAGCATGACTCTCCCGCAGTACGATGGTAGGGCAAACATTAACAATGACGTTGAGTTCCAAAGGTGAGGTGAATCTGACGGGCAGGCCAATGAGGGCAAGTTAAGCATAACTAGCAGGCTTCCAGACGCACATGTCACCTTAGGCGAATTTCGCATCAGAATGAAAGAAAAAAGTGAAAAGCTTTATAAAAAACAACACAAGTTAACGAATCAATATAGTGTAGCTCAAAAGATAAATTAGTGTTCGTCTAGGCTTAAAACAAACAATATATATATCATGAACTTAGATCATAGCATTATCCTACTTAGGTAGTAACTTTTCGACCACCTTGTTGCCAGTGGCGAAACCAGGAAATTCAATAAGGGTGTTCAAACCTTTACCAGTAGGCTATATAAGGGTATTCAAAGTCTATTTTTAATCAATAACAAGTAATATTTTACCTTATATTGAGTATAATTTTCGGGCGAAGGGTGATCAGTTGACCACCCTTGGTTGAACGTAGCTTCGCCCCTGCTTGTTGCAGGTGGCTCCACTATCGCGGACCACAACCGAGGCAGTAGCGTCACAAGTGTGCGATTATATGGAATCTTTTATTCCATAAGATTATTGGGAATCAAAAGGACAGAAAATGCAACGTACAATAATTATAACTCATGGACAAATTTGCGCATAGAGTACAGTTCCTTCAAATATTTTGGATCGTTCAATGTTTTAAAGCACGATATTCACAAGCATGCTACACAACTAAAAAAAATGTTTGACAAATTCTTTCTTCCAAAATTAATTGAAGAAAGCAGTGAAAGTATTAATGTACACAATTTACTTTTAACATGGATGAGGGCACGAACAGTAGAAGGGAAGTAAAAAGTTATGAGTAGTATACTTCGCGCTACTTTTGGATATCTTAATTTTAATTTGAACAGATAAATTAAATTGATCTGATTTAACAAAGAAATTTGATCAAATGCTAAATGAACTGGGACTTAGGGCCTAAAAAGCAAAAGCTAATCCTGATATTTTCTACTACAAACATCAATGATTGAGAAATAAATTTATCATGCTACCAAGAAAAAAGGAGAGAAATAAATTACTTTTTCCATTTATTTTTACTTGACATGTATACTAAAAATAGTTTTTTATTTTTACTTGTCACTTTACGCATATCAAGAGAAGACAAATTTTTTTTTGTTATACCCACAGTATTTATTACTCATTTCAAATTATTTTTTTTTAAATCCAATAAAATATACATCAATTAATATGAGTATCATGGTAAATTATGCACTTCATTTATTATTTATTAAGGGACGTGAAAAGTCAAAATGTGTCAAGTGAAAGTGAACGGTGGGAGTAGTAAATTAACTTGAACTACTCATAGTACGCGAATACTCTGATCCACATTTTATCTCTTTATTATTGTTATTTAAGTATTGATATATACATTTTATACCTTTTTTACTTACTGTTATTCCCTATTTTATTTCCTTTTTACTGTTATTCCCTTTTTTTATATACACATTTTATCCTTTTTACTTACTGTTATTCCCTATTTTTTTTCTTTTTTTTTTCTTTTTTTTCCCTATTTTTTTTCTTAACTTATATGAAAATAAAGGGACTAGACGACTAGTATTCGTTGCTTATATTTTGCATGTGTTATAAAATATAAATCACCATCTATACTTTGGTGCTGAGTTGTTTAAAATTAAATGGCGTCCATCTTCATTGAATAGAAAGTTTTAACACGTTCTAAATACCACGACAAAATTTCGATACTCTTTTGTTCTTTTCGAGTACAACCATAATTAAACGACCAAAGTATATATATAATACATCCATATATTTATCGGTTTAACATAAATACTTATTGAGTATGAATAAATTATTTTTTTCTAAAAATTAATATAAACACTATCCACTTCCATTGTCAGTACACATTTTGGTTAGAGAACAGTTGTTAAGACCAAAATAAAAATAAAAAGTGAAAATTGTACTTTACCATAAAGAAGAATTGTGCATAAATTGGTTTGTGCTAAAAAGAGAAGTGGAACAATTACACAAACCAATACAAATATTTAGAATTGTAACACATATCACTCTTTTGATTTGGAATGGAAGTTTTGGAGCAACGGTAAATTTATTTTCATGTAATTTATAGTTTACGGGCTCGAGACATAGAACAACTACTAATGCTTGCATTCAGGGGCAAAGCTAGAGTATATCGGGAGCGGATTCGGCCGAACCCAATAGCTTTGATTCAAACCTTGTATTTGTCTTTAAAAATCTATCGAATATGTATAAATTATTAATTTAGAACACGGTAACTTAAAAGGATTAAAATTCTGAACTCATAAGATTGAAATCTCAGCTTCCCCTGTGCTTGCATTACGTCAAACATTACATTAATTTCTTCTTCCTTTTAAATCTTTTGTATTATATGGAAAAACTACTTATGATATAAATGAACTTGCCTGGTTTTACCGAAATAATTATATCTGCTCTGGACTTTCCAATAACATGAAATTAGCTAAAACCGTCGTCCTTAGACACAACACCATGATGTTATTGAGTCTTTGAGTTTAAATAAGATCAAAGAAAAACTTGAAATAATATGGGACTTATAGTAGCTATTTACCTAACAAAATCTTTATAGATTACGCAAATATTATCTAGCTTCACCTACCTTTATTATTGCGGTCCATTTCTTTTCTCTTTAGATAACACGAAGGGTTTTTAACACAATTTGACCGATCGGCTAAAAACTAGCCAAATATATAAAAAAATATATTCTGACGAACTATGTCTAACAAATATATATTATATGTATATTATAAATTAATATATAAAATATATATATTCTAGTTATTATTTTGTAAAACAGCTATATTTTGTAGATTTCCCTAATATACGAATAATATTATGAGTAATAACTATTAAAGTTTAGTATAATACTTGACCTTCCTAAGAAATATAATCCTTCTAAGGTTTTAACAAAAGTTTAAGAGACAAAAGTAGGTAATACAAGAGCAACATTATGTTCATAAAAGTTTCCATTTTACATCCTTTCTTGGCCAAAACAGCCTGATTGATTTCCAAATAAACATATTGTATGGAT